GATTAGCCAATCAGATTTTGTATCGTCATCAGATGATCTACAAAAATTAGCCAATAAGAATGAAAGCCCGCTATGTTTTTTGCTGTGGGAGCCCCCAAATGTAAAACGATCGCTGCAATCTTTTAAATCAAAATCAAATAACACAATATTCTAAAAGTACACGTTGTTTATCGTAACCAGAATTTCCACTAATGATAAACTAAAAAAGAAATAAAACTATAAAAACTAATCAGGCAAATGCAATTATACCAGAAATCTTAGATTTTATTTTGCTCTTCCGGAAGACTATAGCTGATTCTTATTTGGGTTAATTTGAAACTATAAAAGGTGATGTAGAGAATATCAAGAAAAGATTTGAAAAAATAATTGAGCAAAAATGTTTATAATTTTGAATCCAGAACGCAACAAAAAAAGTATTGAAGATTAATCCTAATAGTAACAAATGGATCAGTAACAAATAGATCGATAATAAAAATTTTGAGCCATTGCATAAATTGGAATATTTCAAATACTAGAAAAATCGTACTGTAATAAATACTACATTTATTGAGTTTATTTGAAATAATAAAATGATTAATTTATTGCTTATCGTTATTATTTTTTAGTATGTAAATTTTGACTTTTTGGTGCTCGTGATCGAACTTTTTTTGGATGGCGATTTTATCCCGGTCGATGATGTCGATCAATCTAGGCCGAAATAATCGACAAAATCTGGCACAGATTTCTTACAGTACATGATAAAATTGAAAGCCCAATGTCTCTTTTTCTCTTGGTGCCACTAATTTATCAGTCGGAAGTAAATATTCTTTAATAATATAAGAGCTATTGACATATTATACTTAAATGATTAATTTAACAAGTGATGTGTTGGTGCGAAGAATTTTAAAAGAAGTGATAAATTTAATTATAAAGGAAAGGAAATATAAAAAACATTGCGGTTAATAACTATCTAGACAAAATAGAAAACGATAACGAAAAGCCCAATCAATATTAAAGCCTCATCAAAAGGAGAACGTTTGATAAAAGTGGTGGGTGAACGTAATGCTTCGTATGTATAAGCTCTAATTTGTAAAATTATAAGGTTATAATAAATTATCCGGATAACCGGGTAATTTAATAATATTAAGTACTCCCATTTCCTTAGTATTAAATAATTGGACTCAAATTCCGAGTTACTTTATTTGTGTACTTTTTATATCTTTTACTCATTTAGTGCACACATATTTGAACAAATATATTAAATTAGTTGAATATATATATTCTTTATATTTCTTTAGCTAACAAATACTACAAGTGCGATGTATACAAAATGCTCCTCAGAATTCTCTTACGACGTCCAATCACAGCTGGCGAAAATTTATTATTGTCTATTATCAGATAGCATATTTTGAATTTCATATGTATTAATGATTTTGCTAATACGTTCATAGCTAGAAAATTCTTGTATATTGGTAGTTAACAATTTTTTTTGAATTTCTCGCGTATCAATAGTTTTACTAATATATTTATAGTTTGAAAATGGCTGTAAATATATATTATTATCATTTAATAATTTCGTTTTCTTTGTATCATCAGCCTTTAAAAACTTTTCCTTTATATAAAACGCTTTATGCGATGCCTCTGAAATCATAATAAGCCTCCACCATTTATAAAGTTTTAAAAAAATTTCTTCAGCGGTAGGTCGTTCTTGTGGATTTGGATCCATGCATTGTTTAGCTAACTCAATAAAACAGTCAGGTACTATATCAGTAAATTTTGGTCTCAATCCATCAATAATTTTTAATGCAAATAAAGCATTAAATTGGTATCCATTAAAAGGTCTAGTTTCAGTTGATATTTCTGACATAATAATACCAAAACTGTAAATATCGGCCTCTTGTGTATATTGTTTACCTTGTAAAACTTCTGGAGCAATATATGACATTACTCCATAAATTTGTGATGAATTTTCACTTTTATTTTTGGATAATCCTAAATCCGCAATATATGAAACTCTATGTCCACTAATGTGTTTATTTATCAAAATATTACCGCTATGAAGGTCATTATGTGTATATCTTGCTTTATGGATTTTAACTAAATCATTCGCTATATTTATAAGCAATGTTAATTTAACTTGCCATGTATACTCTTGAGGGTCTTTTTTTAACGAATTATAAAGATCTCCCTTATTTGCATATTGAAATACCATTAAATATTGCTTTTCATTATTTTGAGTTATTCCGTAAACTTCAAGTCCACTTTTACACTCCATATGACTTTTAAATTCTTTTAAAAATTCGGATGAATTTTTTGAATTAGACAAGGTTTTGAGTGCTACTTTATATGGGCATTTACGAGTTCTTTCGTAATTTCCTGCAAGACCTTTGACTATTCGTTTTCCATCTAACCATATTGCTGAAAATACTGTGCTAAATCCTCCTTTACCAATAAATTCTACTTTATCTAATCTATTAAATGGAATCCATTCTATAAAATCTGTAAATTTTTTGGCTTTTTTTTGAAATTCTCTAATATAATTATCAACATCTTTATATCCACTTGTCCATTCTTGAGTTGTTTCTAAATTAGGATCACATGTTGAGCACCAAACTTTAGAAGTATTATATTCCTTGCATTCCGCACATTTTCCATAACATGGATTTCGTTCTGATTTTCTTAATTGTTCTTTTATGTCATTCAAAACTTCTTCATAGTTGATTACATCCACCTCTGTTAGATATTTAGCCAGAATTTCCAAAGCAGCCTCTTCCATGATTTTTCGTTTTTTCGATCTACATTAGCTGCTGATTTATCTGTTTCAAACATTACTAATTCTAAAATATGTTCTAAAATTTCATTTTTCTTATTAATTTCACATGATTCTTCGTTTAAGAATTTGTTTAATAATGTTAAAATGTTTGAGAAAGCTCTTTTATCGACACCACTTGTTCTTGTTAATTTTTCGAAATTTTTGGTTGTATTTCTAGCCCATTCTTTAACGATAGTTAGGCTTTCGTTGTTTTCAAGTAGGGATGTACATACAGTTTTAATACTTTCTTTGTTAGCTGCTAAAAACGGTAAAACATCAAAATTTTCCATATCGAATATTTCTTTGAAGTTATCTCCTTCTTTTACTGAACTCGTAAACTCTTCTTCTTCTTTTCTGGCTGCTGCTAATGCTTCCTCAATTATATCTTTTTTAGGCACTTCTTTATTCTTTTTTTCTATCCAAGATTCGTTTATAAAATATTTAAATTCTGTATGTCCAAAATTTAATTCTACAGACCCATTATATGATCTCAGTCCAACGCAAGGATATAAATCCTTTGAACATTTCAGATTCTGAAATGCAATTCCCAAATTCACTCCATTTTTAGTGTAGAGTATATTGTCATGATTAAAACTTAAATAACACCCAACGACATCACCAGTAGAAAAAGTTGGTCCGTATGGCTCAATTATTCCAGAATGAAATAAATCTCCATCATCACCATGATAGGCCCACGAATCATTTTCCCAGCCGGGCATCAAGTTTAGATTGGCATCTTTTGTACAAAATCCTATTCCAATGATTCCATTTTGGCCCTTATTAACAATACTTGCTTCAAAATAAAAATCCTGTTGTGAAGGAATTGGCTGATTCGTACGTATTGTAGCGCTATCGCTGTCCCCTTTGCCGGAACCTATGTATTCTACTTTAAACTTATTCGAATGTGCCTTACTAGAATCCACAATTAAAGCATGATTTCTATTCCACAAAGTTTGTAATGCCATATTATGAATAAAGTTTTCAAGATAGAATGTAGATTGACGAATACGTAAGTTATTAAATGCTGAATGAAAATAAGTCTGTTTAAGATATTAATAAGCCTATTTATAAAGTCTAACTTTATATACGTATGCACTGATACGGTCTCTTTTAATATTTTTAGTCAAATTGCTATAAAAAAAATTGTCCATTGTTGTAACGGAGATTTTAACGGAGATTATGCAATATTGGGTCATTTGACTATACATTATGCCGCATTTAGGTAATTTGAATACGCAATTCCAGAAGTATAAAGTGCGATTTTTTCTTATTGTAAAATCACACAGATAACGTCTAACCCATTTTTATACGTAACGGAAAAATGTGTTAGACTGTCCCATGTGATTTACAATAAATAATTACAAGAAAAAATAGTAAATGACGTACTTTACATTTTCTAAAATTGCGCAAATATGCCATAATGATAAGGAACAAAAAAAATGGCCCATGGAAATTGGAAAGACAGGGTATGCTAACCATCTTTGGAAATTTATTTCTATCCTTTTTTCGCTTTTATCTGGTTGATCACGGAGTTTGTTTGACCATGAACGGATCTATTTACAGTATTAGGGTAGCTGCGCGACGCGGTGGTGTCGCGCTAAAACCAGGAACGAGTATAGATTGGTTTTGAAAATTATATTT